ACCTTTTTCCCCCCTCAGTGTTCCCCGGGTTCATTAGGCAAGCAGTGTGAGACTGGGGACCCTTGCTACCTCGAGCCCTGCCGCAACCACGGGGTATGCTCTGTTAGTGAAACCGGCTCCTATCAGTGTCAATGTAAGCCAGGTTTCTCTGGGAGTGAATGCCAAACTCAAGACAAATGCCACGGGGTGAGCTGTGGCAACGGCACCTGTATTTTGAACGACGTGACTGAGGAGAACAGCACCAGGTAGGACCGAGTACTATGAGCCAGCAACTAATGAGAGTTCGTTTGCTTCATAATACTATGTAGAAAGAACAGTGAAAATAAAATGGGAGCAACAGAAATGTGGTTTCTACGGAGACCATTGAGAATTTCTTGGTAGGAAAAAGGCGACTGCCGGGAATGTCTTAGAAGAAGCAAAAGTCCAACAGGTAGTACTCCAAGAAGCCTTCATGGGACGCTCGCTAATAAAAAACAATCTCAAAAAGACAAAATGCAGTTTCAAGCAGACAGATAGACGGGCAGACAGACAGGCAGACAGACAGACAGACAGACAGACAGACAGACAGACAGACAGACATCCTCAAGATGAAAAAAGTCTCAAAGACCAAATCGACAATTTTAAAAAGAATATTTACACTACCAGTTATGGTTCAATTATTGTGCCCATCCTCCAGAAGAGAGCCAATCAATCTTATAGGGAACTGGGGGGAAAAAGATGAAATCGTGAAAAAGTTTTTAGTGCCACTTCTATAAAAACATACATTAGTTTGCAATAGTCTATAACCCCTTTTTCATACCATCCCCCCTCCTCCACCTCCACCCCCATTATCCCATTCCCCCTTTTCCTAGCTGCAACTGCACTCTTGGATTCTACGGTGACTCTTGTGAGAACTATGACGTGTGTCGGACGTCACCCTGTAACGACCATGGCACGTGCGAGAGCGCGAGAGGTTCAGGTGACCCCGAGGGTCATCAGTCTGCCAACAAGTGCACCTGCTTTGACGAGTGGTACGGGGACACCTGTGAATACCTCAATATGTGTGTGATGGAAGTAAGTCCATAATCTTTCTTTCTTTTTTTTTCTTCTTTTTGGGGGGGGGGGGGTTGGTTGTGTTTTTTTAATACTTTACATAAATTAACGAGTTAAGCCATGCAAAAGATGGATTCGGGAAGTCAAGGGAACCCTAAGAAATTGCAACATAATGCCAATTGAAAGAGTTGCAGAGTAGCCTAGCATAGGAAACTGCATCTTTCCTCGATGCTTAAGGATAACAGAGGATGAAAAATAAAAGTAGAAGTAAGATATAGACATAAATTAACCCTCAATGACCGCACGTGCTATATGTGAGGCAGCGTGGTGGAATCAGGCTCTCGTCAAGTTTTGGGCATGTAGAGTTATTGGTATCATTTTAAAGCTTGTTCACTTGTCTTTATTTGGATTTTTAAAAAATCATTTATCTTGAATACAAGTCGAGCTATTTGCGAATGAAGGAGGTGGGGGTCACCTGTTTTCAGAGGTAAAATTAGTGAGAAAATGACTGCCAAAGATTAGTTATTTCCTTAGCTTAAGAGTCCAGGTCAACTGAAAATTTATATTTTTTGTGCCTTTAATCAACGTTTTTAAGAAAAATCCACACTTAAATGAGTTCTTTAATGGGCATGAAAGGTGTTGAGCCAAAAAACAAATTTGATAAAAATAAACAAACCTAAGGAAAAATGCAAGTTTCTTCAGTTTGATTATTTTGACGAGAGCCTGATTCCACCACGCTGCCTCACATATTATTAGACATATTCAGTGAAGATATTGATATCTGAAAATAGTTAACCTCGATGGACCATAAGTCAGTGTTCTCTATCAGGCTAGACCTTGCTTTTTAGAAATGGGTCCAATACTACTCTTTTCGAAAATAAGGGCGGAGTCTATCTATTTAATATATTTCCATGTACCATTTCAAATGTCATGATTTTTTAAAGTGCAGTATTTAAGTTCAGTTTCTAGATGGTTAATGATAGGGGTAACTTTATAACCGCGTATGCTTGCCTGTAACATGAACGATTTTTTTCGAAAATGAAAGTAAAGTCCAAGAGTATTATCCTGTATTAGACTTGCGACATACAGCCATGATCTGGCCCAAAGTAGAGAAAACATCACTAATGATGAAATAAAAGACTCCCTTGAGGTCGGTGATACCAACGATTAAACTGTGTTAAGACTTGCAATCTTTTACTTTTATCCCAATGCCTGAGAACAATAATATTATTGGCAGCTGTCAGTTCAACAACCAACAGTTCTTAAAATGGATTCAACGCCTCTATAAACACTATTAAGTCCTTTAAGAGGCGGGACTCCGAGTTAAGCTCCATCTCCGAAAGGACCGAGCCAAATGGGAATTTCGTGTAAAGTGCCTTTCTCAAGTGAAAAGTGGGAAAAGTGGGAAGACGTGGAGTGACATCAAGCGACTAGCCCAGGATCGGAAAAGGTGGAGAGTGTTTGTTCGTGGCCTATGTCCTGATCCAGGGTGAGAAAGGCAATGATGATGGTGATGCCTTCCTCAAGGACACAAAATCGGACCGAGCTGAGACTCGAACCCCCAAACCCGCACGCAACCTCACGATTACGAGTCCGGAAGCCTATCCACTAGGCCACCAACGCCATTCAATGGTTCTTAAAGTTAAGAACACCTCATTTACACCACAAAAAAACTACTAAAGTTAATAGAGGGATACTCTCTGTTTTTTGTTTCAGATGTGTAAGAACGGCGCAACATGCCGGAACATTCCGCCTGACAAGTACAAGTGCCAGTGCCGGGACGGCTTTAGCGGGCCTGACTGCTCCGTGTTTGACCCTTGCAGCGTGCACGAGTGCCTGAACGGGGGCCGGTGCAGGACGGTGAGCAGCACGCGCTATGAGTGTGTGTGCTCGAACGAGTGGGTGGGGGCCCGATGTGAGGCCGAGAACCCTTGCTCACAGGACAGGAATCCTTGTCAGAATCAGGGCCGGTGAGTGATTGTGTTTTAGTAAGAGTTTAACGACACTTGCAACAAAGTTAAGTCATATGAGTGCCGGAGCTTAGAGGTGTTATAAAAGAAAAACACACACACACACAAAATCAGGCCTAGTGAGTGACTGTGTTTTTGTTAGAGTTTTACGGCATTTGCAACACAATTAGGTTATGTGAGTGCCGAGGTTTAGAGGTGGTACAAGGGAGTGACAAACACACAAAAAGAATCAGGCCAAGTGAGTGATTGTGTTTTTGTTAGAGTTTTATGGCACTTGTAACTGGGGTAAGTCATAGTGCCGACGTTTAGAGGTGTTACAAGGGAGTGACAAACACGAAAAGTAGGAGGATAGAATATTTGTGTTAGTAGACATTTTACCCAACTTGCAGCACAATAAGCTCATATAAGTGAAGAAGGTTAGAGGTGTTACAAGAAAGTGAAAAACACAACAAAAGAAGGAGAGATAAGGACGATAGATGTTTGATAAGAAAGAAGGAGCAGACTACGTCAGAGCACCTGCTACCCTCCTAAAAAAAGTGAGTGAGAAATTTTTTTAGTCTTGTCTGGTCTTATTTTATTAGAGGAAAGGGGCTTGGGTTTGGGTGGGAATGGTGTGTCGTATTCAGTGCTGTAAATCACACAATTTTATACCAAAGTAAAAAGCACTCCCTCCCCTTTAATTAATAAGATTGCAGGTTTGAGGGTTTGAGCCTAAGCTCAGTCCGACTTTGTGTCCTTGAGAAAGGTACTTTCCCCGAATTCCCCACTTGGCTCAGTCCTTTCGGAGATGGACGTTAAACTCGGAGGTCCCGCCTCTTAAATAACCAATTGTGAAGCAACAAATGAAAGCACATAAACACTTTATTTCTAAATAGGGGTGAAGTTACAGACCTAGTAAAGAACCGCTTTCTAGTAACAGACGATAGTACAATACCGCTTTCTTTCTTTCTTGACAGATGTGAACGTTATTGACGTCATCATACTATTATAACCGCTTTCTTTCTAGACAGATGTGAAGTTACAGATGATAAATTATAGATCTTATCACGTTCTTTCTGAACAGGTGTGAAGTAACACACGACCAAGCAGGATTGTTGACGCCATTGTCGGGGACATTCGCCACAGGCCAAGGAAATGTTCAGGCTCGCCCCGTCAACATCCCACAGTACAAAGCCACCTGCAAGTGTACGCAAGGTCATCTGGGCACATTCTGTGAGTTTGTCGACCCGTGTCTCCGCAAACCGTGTGAGCACGGAGAGTGCAAACACCGGGAGTTTGAGGATTTCAATGCCGGCACAACCCCAGCGCCGCTTGCCAGTGGTACAGGGAGTGGGTTTTCCCGGATTGCCTACCCGGAGAGTGCGGACGATATTCTGTACTGCGACTGCGAGGCGAATTATACGGGACGTCTTTGCAATGTCGAGGTGCTGTCCTGTAGGAATATCTTTTGTCTGAACGGCGGAGACTGTCTACACGGAGAATGCGTTTGTCCAGAAGATTTCACAGGTAGGACAATTTTGGTATATCGCCTTATTTCTTCCTCTGTTTATATATCTATCTAAGTGGTGGGTGGTTGGCGGATGCTCTGGTGTAGTTTGTTACTTCTTTCCCATCAAACATCTATCGTCCTTATCTCTCCGCCTTCTTTTCTTTTATGTTACTTTCTGTTGTTTCCGTCTGTCCCTCTGTCTCTGTCTCTATCTCTCTCTGTCTCTCTCTCTCTCTTT